TGTTGCTTAGCCCAGGGTGCTGAGAAGTGGTAAGAGTCTAGCTGGTTTTTGAAGGTAGATGAGCTGATGAAGCTGGTGAGAAAGAATGGAGGCAGGGATGCCTGCAGTATATTTGGCCTAAGAAATGGGATGGAGCCCCCATTTCTTGAATCAGGGAAGGCCGGGATGGCACATGCTGGGTGAGGGATGCCAGGAAGGGCTGTGTTGGCTTTGAGGTGCCAGAGGTCCATGAGGGGGCGCTCACCATAGTGCTGACTTTTGGTGCAGTGCCTTGTTTCCAGTAACTAGTTCTTTACGAGTTAATGATCAATTTGAAAATCTAATGCCAGAGGATTCTTTTTAAGAAGTAGGCATCTCTTACCTATACCTTACGTATGAGTGGGTTGTCTGTGGGAGGGAGCCCAGGGTGGGTATGCACTTGAGCCAGCTCTTCTGAGATTTCTTCTCAGGCTGGCCTGGGCCTTCCTTTGTGGGTCTCATGGCTCTGCCCTTCTTCTCAGGAGTGCCACTGCGGAGGCCTGGCATGAGATCATGCCGTCTTGTCTCAGCAACCAGGCCTGTGATGATCACGCCAATGTCAGTGAGTGTGGGAACGACTTTGCCTACTTCTACTTCATCTCCTTCATCTTCCTTTGCTCCTTTCCGGTAAGTCCTGGTCACTGTGTCCCTGTGTCCACCTGTCTCAATCCATCCCAGCCCCCTCCTCCATCTCTCACTGATACCTGATACTGATTCATGGCACATTACAAGCGGATTCTGTGTCGATGGTCCTGTTTCCCCAGAGACGATGACCTCTAAAAGGACCCACTCTGTCATGAGCTCCTGTGGGCCTTGCCTTTCCTTCTCAGAAAGGGTTTTAAGTTTCCATGGGACAACTGTCCTTTAGTCTTTAGCCTCTGCCATGGTGATGAGTTACAAAGAAGCAGCACTCCAGCTGGTGTGCCTGGGGCAGATGAGCCTCAGGAAACTGGTTGTTGGGGCGGTAAGTGGACTAGGTCCAGGTCAGCAGAAACCTCTGGGAAACTTTGAGCAGGGGCATGACACAATCTGGTTGATACTTTAAAACCTTGCTCTCTGGCCTCTGGTCAGGAGAGGCTGGAGAGTGGTCAGGAGATGGTTGGAGGTGACAGTCCCTAGAGAAGGGTGGGGATGAAGGGAGTTGAGCTGCACTTTAAAGACAGAGCCAACATGACTGATGAGTAAGCACAGACATGAGAGAAAAAGAGAAAGAAACCCGCATCTGCCATTTGCTGGGGTGCTGGAGAAACAGGCGCTCGTTCACGCCAGTGAGAATGTGACGAGGTGCAGCAGCTGTAGAAGACAGTATGGTAGCTCCTCAGTAAACTGAAAATAGAATGGCAGTATAATCCAGCAACTCCACTTCTGGGTGTATGCCAGAATTGAAGATAGGGACTTGAATAAATATTTGTACACATACGTTCATAGCAGTATTATTTACAATGGCCAGGAGGTAAAAGCAATGAAAGTGCCCATCAACAAGTGATTGGTACACAAAATGTGACATGAACATACAAGGGACTATCATTCGGCCTTAACAAGAGAGGCAGTTCTGACCCATGCTTCAATATGAATGAATCGTGAAGTCATTATGCCAAGTGAAATAAACCAGTGACAAAAGGAAAAATAACTGTATGGTTCCACCTATCTGAGGCCCTCGAGTGAAGTTCACAGAGACAGAGAGTAGGATGTAGGATGGTGGGTGCCAGGGACTGGGGGAGGGGTGGGAGTTAGGGTTTAATGGGGTCAGGGTTTCAGTTGGGGAGGATGGAAGAATTCTGGAGATGGACAGTGGGGATGATTGCACAACAGTGTCAGTGTGCATGATGATGCTGCACTGTGCACCTAAAAGTGGTTAAATTGGTAAGCTTTTTGCTATGTATGTGTTACCACAATTTAGAAAATGGTATTAAAAAAGAATTAACATAAATCCTATCCAAACTCTTTTTATTTTTTTAGAGGGAGGAGGGAAAGAGGGAGAGAGAGAATCTCATGCAGACTCCATGCTGATTGCGGAGCCCGACGTGGGACTCCATATCACGACCCTGAGATCATGACCTGAGCTGAAATCAAGACTCGAACGCTTAACTGACTGAGCCAACCAAGTGCCCCCTATTCAGATTCTTTCAAAAGTAGAAGAGCAAACACCTCCTAACACATCCTGGGATGCTGCCATTGTCCTAATACCAAAGGCAGGCAAAGATGCCACAAAAAAAGAAAACTACAACCAATGTCCCTGATAAATATATAGTACGAATCTTGAACAAGGTACTAACAGACTAGTTCCAACAACACTGGAACTAATTAAAAGGATTATACACCATGATCAAATGGGATTTATCCCAGGAATGCACGGATGCATTTTCAACATACAAAGATTAACCAATTTGATGAAGAAAAAACCCACATGATTATCTCATTGGTGTGGAAAAGCATTTGACAAAATTCAACACCCTTTCATGACTAAAACACTTAGCAAACTCGGAGTAGAAGGGAACATCCATAACATGATGAAGGACATTTATGAAAAACCTACAGTTAACATTATACTCAGTGGTGAAAGACTACAAATTTTTCCCCCAAACAGCAGGAATTAGACAAGGATGCCCACTTTTTTTAAATTATGTTAATCACCATACCTTACATCATTAGTTTTTGATGTAGTGTTCCATGATTCACTGTTTGCATATAACACCCAGTGCTCCATGCAGAACGTGCCCTCTGTAATACCCATCACCAAGGATGCCCACTTTTTATCACTTCTCAACATCATGCTGGAAGTCCTAGTTAGAGCAGTTAGGGAAGAAAAAGAAATAAAAAGCATCCAAATTGAAAGGAAGAAATAAAGATATCTCTATTTGCAGATGATACTATTCTATATGTACAACATCCTGAAGAACACACACACAAACACACACACACATGCGCGCGCGCTACTAATACTAATAAATGAGTTAATCAAAGTGTCAGGGTACAAAATCAACACATAGTAAACAACCAGAAAAGGAAATTAAGACAATACTTCTATTTCCAGTAGCACCCAAAAGGATAAAATACCTAGGAATAAATAAATACCCATGGAGATGAAAACTTGTACAGTGAAAACTGCAAATTATCGCTAAAATGAGTTAAAGAATGCCTAATTAAATGGGAAGACATGCATGTCCATGGATCAGAAGACTTAATATTGGTAAGGTGGTAATGTCCCCACAAAGTGAGCTCTAGATTCAATGTGATCCCTGTCAGAGATCCAGTGGCCTTTCTACAGGAATGGAAAAGCTGATCCTCAAATTCATATGGAATGGCAAGGAACCCCAAATAACAAAAAATCATGAAAATTAAAGACCAAGTGAGAGAACTCACATATTCCTATTTAAAAACTTATTATAAAGGTACCATGTGTAAAAACAATGTGGCTGAAGAGATACTTTTCCAAAGAAGACATACAGGTAACCAACAGGTACATGTAAAGATGCTCAGCATCACTTATCATCAGGGAAATGCAAATTAAAATCCTATGAGCCAAGATATGGAAACAACTTAAGTGTTCATCAACAGATGAATTAGATAAGGAAGATTTGGTGTGTGTGTACACACGCACACACGCACACATTTTTCAGCGATGGGAAAGGAGGAAATCCTTCTGTCATTTGTGACAACACGGATGGATCTTGAGGGCATTATGCTAGGTGAAAAAGGCCAGACAGGGGAAGACACATACTACATATATAACTTATATGTGGAATTTTTTTTAGAGGTCAAACCATAGAAACAGAGAATAAAAGAGTCGTTGCCAGGGTCTAGAGAGTTGGGGAAATAGGGAGAAGTTGGTAAAAGGGACACACTTTCAGCTATAATATGAATAATGTCCGAGGATGTAAAGTAAAACGTGACCATAGTTGATAATACTGTATTGTATAATTGAATTTTTCTCAGAGTAGAACGTAAGTGTTCTTCCAAAAAAAAAAAATAGGTGATGGATGTGTTAATTATATGGTAGGAATGGTTTCACAATGTTTATGTATGTATATATACCATAATATGCACTTTAAGTATCTTATAATTATGTCAGTTATATATATCTTAATAAGGATGATACCGGGGCAGTATGGTATTCGCATAAGGACAGACCAGTGGAGTGGGATGGAGATTCCAGAAATAAATCCAAATATCTATGGAAAATTGATTTTTGACAAGGATGCCAAAGCTGTTCAGTATGGAAAGAATAGTTTCTTTAAGACATGGTGAAGAGACAACTGGATGTCCGCATGCAAAAAAATAAAGATGGACCCCTACCTCATCCCATATACAAAAATGAACCCAGAATTGATGAAAGAGTTAACACTACAAAACTCTTAGAAGAAAGCATAGGGGGCAGATCTTCATGATCTCGGATTTGTCAGAGGATTCTCAGATTCCACACCAAAATCACAAGCAACAAAAGAAAAAAAATAAATTAGACTACTCAAAATTAAACACTTTTGTGTGTCAAAGGGTATTATAAAAATGTGAAAATACAATTTAAGGAATGGGAGAAAATATTAATCCACATATTTTATAAGGGGATAGTATCCAAAATACATAAAGAACCCTTAGAACCATACTACAAAATACAACCATATAAAAAATGGGCAAAAAATCAGAATAGACATTTTAGCCAAGAAGATATACAGAGTGGCCAGCAAGCACATGAAGACATTCATCATCTTTGGGCATTAAGGAAACTCAAAACTACACACTTGCTTCACACTCACTAGGATGGCTATAAAGATAATAATTTTTCTGGGGGGGGGTGGCTGCATACTAACACAACTTGGTAGTTTTTATTGTCTAGGACAATGGTTACAGACCACAAAGCCTCGTGAAGACCCATCGCTTGGGCCCAACAAGAGACAATACCCTCCCTCGCAGTTCAGAGTCCTCTGGGCTGTAAGGGGACAGACTTTTCTTACGTGGCTCTGGTAGAAGGTCCGTGACTGTACTCAGTACAAGAAGAGCCATCTCTGAGCCGACTTATGTGGGGGTGGGTGGATAAGGTGGCCATCCTCATTTCCATTACTTGGGTGAAACCCTGAAGACCGGATGTGGATGGCCGAGTTGTTGTGGATGCGGGTCAGCGGCTCTTGAGTATCAGTCTCTGGTTCCAGCTCATCGACAAGCTCCACGGTGGAGGTATTGGCAGCCACCTTCAAGGACCCGAAGCTGCCTGCCTGAAGCTGTAGGGCAATGTTGATAGCACGGTTGATGGCCAGGCCCAAGCCAGGAATGTAGATCTCACTGCATGAATTCTGACCCCGAGCCCCTCCGTCCAGAAGCTTTTGGCAGCAAGCCACCTGGGCCTTAAAGTCAGTCTTCATGTTGACATAAATGTCATTGGGCCTCCGGGAGAGGCGGTGGGGGAGCCACTTCTGAAGGGTATACTCCCCCGGGTCCAGCTCAGCCTCGACAGCCCCGCGGGGCTCTCGGTTTTCCACCATGCTCTGTGCCACTCTCCAGTCCACAGTCCCCTTCCCGAGCATGTGGCCTGCTCCGGGCCAAGCCACTCAAGCGCTGCGCCCACCCGCTCGGACGGAGCGTGCGGCGCCGGACATGCAGGACCGAGGAAGAGAAGAAAAGCCGCGCGCGGGAGGATCGCAAGACTGCGGCCGCCCTTACGGCTCGGGGATCCTGAAAGATAATAATATTTTTAATGGAAAATAACCAGCATTGGCAAAGACATGGAGAAATAGT